TCTTTTAAAATGTAGTAGTATAGTATAAATGAATCTTATTTTTAACCTCTTCTACAACGCGCTTTATGTGTCTAAAGAGCGGACCCAGGCGATACACAATGTATTTTGCTCTTGTATCAAATAACAGTACATTCAAATGGTTAAACATTTATAATACGATAGTTGAAATTCAATACTTTTATTGAAATGTCAAAAACGATACTTTTTTTTATGAATTTTGTATTAGATCGCAATTTATGACGTCATCATATTTCTGCGTCAAACAGCATACCTACTTATTTCCTTAAAATTAGCGAGAAAAAATTCAAAAGTAGGTAAATTGTCAAATCAATGGATGAGAGTATGATTATTTTTTAATTGTTTATTGCATTGAAAAGTTGAAACAATTTATTTTAAACCTACTAGCCAATTATTAAAGTACATAAATCAATTGCATGGTATAATAATATAATATAATAATAAATCATTTATTTCAAGTAACCAAGACTCACAAAATGTTAGTAAAACTTACATCTATGTTAGTAATCACAATTGTTTTATAGTACAATAAAAGTTTTTATATTAATACATCCTACATTAATCCATGGGAAATGGCATTACATCGTCCCATGTATATGCAGTCCAGTCTGCTCGCAATCATGCTCAGGATACTGTTGGAGCTGGCCCGCACCCTGCTCACCAGGGAAGCACACCTTTTGCGCATTGTTGCATAAAAACAGTCTATGTGTGCATCTGCAAACATTCCTGATGCGCTACAGAAGCGGGGCAGCCCCACCAGCACCCTAAATGCATTATTATATTGAACACGGAGAGCGCTGTATGACCTCTGCGCAAACCCAGCCCACAGGCTGCATGTATAAAAGCTAGTACAGTATGCCCTGAAGAGGGTGAGCTTGACTTCAAGTGAACACCGTGCAAACCTGCGAGCTATCATGTTTGCCCTAACAGACAACGCTCTCCGCTCACGTTCAATGTCTGCATCGTCCTTGAGGTCGGGGGTCAATATATGACCCAGATATTTAAACTTAAACACTCTGTTTAAAGGCATTCTATTAAGAAATATAGGTGGTATACTTTCAGGAATTTTACCCCCAGCACCAAAGACCATAACTTCCGACTTTTTGGTATTGTAAATAAGTCCATGTGACTTTGCATACTCTTCACATTTTTGCACAAGTTTCCTTAGGCCACAGATCGACGCGCTCAGCAGCACCATGTCATCCGCGTAACTAATATTATTGACACAGACACCATCAATAAAACAGCCGACTCTGATGCTACTCAACTCGTCAATCAGCCCGTTCACATATAGGTTGAACAGCGTAGGTGAACTCAACCCCCCCTGTCTCACCCCGCACTCCAACCCGTATGCACGAGACAAAGCCCCGGCCCATCGCACATAGTTGCTCTGATTTCCATACCAAAATTTCAAAATGTCTATTATTTCAGATGGCAATTTTGATTTCTCCAACTTTTTCCACAACCCCTCATAAGAAACCAGATCGAAGGCCCTGGATAGGTCGAGAAAGCAAGCGTACACAGGTGTACCACGCCGGGTATAATACGTGACAGCCTGCTTAAGACACAATATCGCGCTTTCAGTTGACAATCCAGGTCTAAACCCGAACTGGTTATCATGAATTTCTATACATGTTTAATTGTGTATTAACCAAGCTGTCAAATACTTTTGCTATTACCGTAGCCAGTGATATGGGCCTATAGTTACCTGTGTCTGCGATGTCTCCCGTTTTGTTCTTAATAATAGGTACCACTATTGTCCGAATCATCTCGCTCGGCAAGTAACCATGACCCACACAAAAGCTATACAACATTGCCAGGACTCTTGGCAAGTGCGTACCCGCATAGCGGAGGTGCTCGATGCTGAGCCCGTCATGACCAGGAGACTTGCCCCTTGACATGCCTTTTATAATCTGAGCAATCTCTTTTGCTTTAAATTTCACTTTTAGATCCTTACCAGGCTCAACATCGATCACCGACCCCAGTCTTCCCAGAGGAGATTTCACAATAAAATTATCTCTGAATAGGTTGGCAATATCTTCTGGCTCACACATGCCGCCGACACTCACAGGTAGCCCCGGTTTATTCTGTATTTTATGGTTTTAGTAAATTGTCTATACCAATGAACGTGTATGTAAATATCAAATAGATATATTTGTATAGCAATTTGCAGCACTTGTCAATAATGATGTAATTTAACATTTATGTGTTAACAATAACAAAACATTACAATATGCTTGGTTTTATGTGAATGTGAGATTATCTGACAGATGATTGAAAGCAAAGTTTGATGAATGAGATATTATTAACGTGTCAATTGGAGACAAAAATTTGAATAATTAAAAGGGATTTTTGTTCAAAAATGGAGAAAAATCAACGTTGTTTATGACTGTAAGCTCTGGTACCATAAAATGGAGTGAATAGAATTCGAGGAGTAAATAGATACAGGAAAGGTGTGAATAAATGTTAGAACATTTTTTGAATATTTATTCACCCCTCTTATGTATCTATTCTATTCACCCCGTTTTACTGTTATCGACTTGAAACCAGTCAGTACTACAGAGAAAAGTTACATTCTCACTCTAAGCATCCTCATTATTTGAAAAGAATAATGTATTTGCTACTTGATTAATTTATTGAAGAAATAAATGTGAATGTGTGTGTTGCGAAGACACTATAGCTATACGTTTAATTTTATTGTTTTGTTTCGTCTGCAAAGATCTAGAATGATGTCATTGTTATAAGCGGTTTTTATTGCCTGAGGTACAGGTTTCAAACCTAGTTCACATGGCATAACATAGCAATAAGAATATAGAATTAAGACATATGAAATTATGTTTATATTTTTTTTGAATAAATGATTTATGATTATGATTGATTATGATAAAACAGTCTCCAATTTAGACGTTCTTTCTAATCTTGCCTCTCTATCTATATACTTATTTCTTATGAACATCTCACTTTATCTTCATCTTAAACTCTTGCATGTTCTTTCATAATATTTGCTTAAATTTTCTGCTTTAATATTTTCTAAGCTTTGCCGGGCTTTGGGTGCTACCACGAATTCAGTCCTTATCCCCTATTCCCTTAATTCTAAATTACTTCAACACTTATTTGTTTTATTAACGGCCGTTTTCCAAAACCTATCTGTGGGTAGATTCGCTTCCTATAGATATAATTTTGGTATGAAATATGTCAAAATTTCTATCTCTAGAGAGTCAAATCTGGTGACAGATTGATTGTTCGTTGGCTGGCTGTTAATCTTCTTTAAGGTCGGTTTTTCCAACGCCAGATAAATTTTAACTGAGGAATAACTTTGAACATTTGACAATTCTTCCATATTTAAAAAAAATTGGTTGCCTGTAAAGTCGGTATACGGGCGAAAGTTTTACGTGACAACGACTTTGAGTGGTAAAATAATGTCTCTCTCGCTCTTAGGCGGGCTAACAATGCCCGAGTGGAAGGGACGCGTGCCTCTCACTCGCTCTCATTGTGAGCGCATAACGTGAGCGGAGCGTAACGCAGTTTCTTGAAGTGTCACCCGGCAAACCAATTTATAAGACGTTGTCACGTCAAAACTGTAAAATGTCAAGTTTATTCTAAAGTTACAAACTAACTGATGATTGAAAAATCGGCCCTTGGAATTCTACAAAATGTTCTTCCTAAAACATGTTCTAAATATCTTGATCACATTCTAGTTCAATTATTGAATTGAATGAGATTCAATAATCGAGTAATCGAAACAAGTACGCGTTCTGCACTCTGATTGGCCGGCGTTAATGAACCAACCAATCAGGTGGCTTACTCTTGAATCCAATTCCTATAGTATCGACATTGGTATTGTGAAATGTCCTACTCTTGAGTTGTAGCACTAGCGCCCATTGCATCCGTAATGCGTGGATATTTAATTAACTAAATGGTATTGAGTTTGCATTTATATTCCGTACTCTGAATGAATGCTATTTTAACAGTTACGATAGGGGTTGTAGTTTTGACATTGAATGATTATTGAGATTTTATTGGATTGAAATTGCATTGACATTGAAAATGGTTTCAAGAGTAAACACCCAGAGAGCTGCATGTGCTCTCGAACTGAGCCCTCTGAGCGCGTTATTTAAAAACATACTTTACTGTCTACCTACTTTATTGTTTTCCTATTTTTTTTTTCAGTAACCCTTTATACCTAATCTTTTGGTCTTTATTAAAACTGTTCTAATTTTTTCTGTGTGTGAATGAGTATTAATACTGGGTTTGTCATTAAATATGTTGGGACGTTGTAAAAAACAAAATATTTGGGCGAAGTTGGTTAAACCATGGTGATCATGACAAGAAGAGTTTATGTTTGATGGAGGGGGAGATTCTGGGTGTTGTACATTTTGTGGTTATGTTAACTAATTTGATTTAAATACTGACATTTTGTATATAGATTCTTTGTCTAAAGTTATTCAGGTAGTTGTTTTTGCTACTGTGATTATCTGTGTTATTTCTCTGTTTGAAAGTGTCTTGATTGATTTTATTGAACTTTCTTATTATAGTATCTTTCTAATCCTTTTTTTTAAATACTTTTTTTTTCGGTTTGTAACTTAATTCGATTGTTTCGAGTTTTTGTTAAAAACTTTGTTAGAGAACTTTGTTAAAAAACACAATGAAGTTTACCTTTCAAGTATTTCAATAAATGTTTATCTTCTTTAGTCTTCCACTAAGAATTACTAATGTCGGAATACTGAAACGCTACTCAATTTCAAGTCGTGCTTAAGTATAGTTCTGTCTCTACAAATTCTTTGTAAAATGACAGAGATGGAACGATATTTGAGCACGACTTAAATTTAAGTAACGTTTCAGTATTCCGGCATAATTCTTTAAACATACATTAGGTACTACTGTCTCCGATATATATTCAAAGACTAATATATAACTGAAACTTAAACATTTTAGGTTACTTCCCCGCCCATGAATACGTACCGAAGTTCGACTTCAACCCTATGGACTGCACCGACATTGTGATAGGAACCGCTAAGGGCAACTACCATAGAGTGCTCGACTATTACACCAGAGACAGGTGAGAATGTACCTAAATCATATTTTTATTTATATAACATAATATCACGCCTTTTATCCCCGACGGGGTAAGCAGAGGTGTACAATGTAACACCCACTTTTCACTATTTATATTATGAGTCCCATGTAATAGGGAGTGAGCCTATTGCCATATACCGGACACTATTGCACACTCCGTGCAAATACTGAGAATTTTTAAAAACTAATAATTTGCCCAATCCGGGAATCGAACCCGAAACTCCTTGCCCAGCAGTCGCACTTCATTTCATTTGCTTTTGATTTCTTTTTAAAAACGGATTTTCCCCGCACTAGGATTGAAAGACAGATCAATTTGGCACTTGTCCATGAAAATCTAGGGTTTTATATGAGTTTATGAAAGTAACAATATCCAACTTAATACTTTACTGTACCTAAATAAAAAAATGTTTCTGGTTTATTGGAAAAAATCCTACTGAGTTAAGCAGTATTAACACAAAATGTCTATAACTTACGTAGGTACTTACACGATAAAAAAAACTACTGGAGAAATATGGAAATATCAAAGATTTTTAATACTTCAATTCTACGTCTACATTCAATATTAAATTAATTTATCAAACGCCTAGTTTTATCAATGTTGTTGTGTTCAGGTCAACGCCCCGAGTGGACACGTTCTGGGGCGGACACGATGACATCACCGCCGCGTCCGGCTACGAGGAGAACGGAGTCACCACCATCATGTTTAGGAAGAAAATTAAGGTAACCTATTGTTTTAAATTACCCTCGACTTTGGTCAAAATATCAAAATGCACAAGTCCATAGTTTACCAGCGGGCCAAGTAGCACAGCATCTTCATCATCATTATCATCATCATCATCATCAACAGCCTATTAATGCCCACTGCTGAGCAAAGCCTCTTCTCACACGGAGAAGGTTAGAGCATTAACCACCACGCTTGCTCAATGCGGGTTGGCGATTTCAAACTTATAATTAGAAATTATAAGTTCAGGTTTCCTCACGATGTTTTCCTTCACCATTTGTCAGTGTTGTCTAGATAATCTTAGAATGTACATATAACTCGGAAAAAGTCACATTGGTACTTGCCGTTGGTAGGTTTCGAACCCGCACCATCATGCATGAGAAATGGGCGTCTTAAACCTCCGGGCCACCACGACACAGCATCTTAGGTATTCGATTTATCGGAGAGAATATCCTTACTATTATAAATGGGAAAGTGAGTTTGTTTGTTTGTTTGTTTGTTCCGCTTTTACGCCGTAACTACTAAACCGATTGCTTTGAATTTTTGCAGACGTAAAGTTAGAAGTCCGGATTAAATAATAGGGTACTTTTTATCTCGGAAAATTTTGATATTCTCGAGGGAAAACAAAAGAATTGGTATAGGTGGCGCTGTGTGTATTGGTATATGTCACATAGGCTACTCTTATCCTTTTGTGACGCGAGCGAAGCCGCGGGTAAAAGCTAGTGAAACAATAAAGAAAATATCATTAATAAATAGGCGTCGCCGTCGACCCTAGCGACAGCATATGTATTCCCATCAGATAGATGGTTGGCAGGCGACAACTGTGCGCTTCTTGCGTAGCTTTCTGCCTCACACAACAAAACTGTGGAATGATCTATCGTCTGAGATATTTCCGAACTGATACGACCTTCAAACCTGACAAGAGCGTATTCCTTTTAAAAAGCCGGTAACGCACCTGTGACTCCTCTGGTGTTGCGGGTGTCCATGGGCGGCGCTGATCGCTTACCATCAGGTGATCCGTCAGCTCGTTTGCCCCAAGGCTTACACAGCACTTTAACATGTCGATAATTAGTGACACTGAAGTGTAAAATAAATTCAAATCGCTGCTGACGTTTGTGATAAAGCCGCTAAGAATTATAAGTGGGCTGGTTTGAATAAATCTGCCGCATGCATGTGAAATGAACGGTAGGCGAAATTCATCACTTATTGGAGTTCACCGATCGTCAATTGACATCGCGGCAAAGACCATCTGTTTTGATTTTTTTGACCCAATAATCCCATGTTTTTAGACGCTGTAGCATACTTTTAACTTAATATAATAATAAAATATGATAAAATGATAAGCATTGGAGTGCAATATTAAATTGGTATGTAAGTAGTTATTATAGTATTTGATAATGTTTTAGAGCCATATTAAGGTAATAAGTTGAAATATTATAATTTTTTTTTGTAACTTTAAAATCACTTTGACTAGATTTTAGTGTTACATTGTTCTCGCACAATCCAAACAGCAAACTATGTAACTGGACAATTGTATTGTGAACCTGATTGAAAAAGAGTAACCTATGGAGTTTCTTGCTCGTTCTTCTCCATAGGAATCTACACTTTGGAATGAGCAAATAGCTTCACTTCTAATTTTATTGTTGACGTTCAAAAGTGCCTTTCTGGTCTAATTGAAATAAATGATTTTGACTTTGACTTTTGACTTTGACTTAAACAAATTCTTAAAAATAGTTACATAAGATTTAGAATAATTAAATTACTAGCTTCTGCCCGCGACTTCGTACGCGTACCATCCTATTTTTTCCCGTCCCCGTTCGTGATTTTCGGAAAAAAAGTAAAAAAATTTGGTTAAAAAGTATCCTATGTCGGTCTCCTGGCTCTAAGCTACCTCCCTACCAATTTTCAGCCAAATCTATTCTGCCGTTCTTGAGTTATAAGTGGTGTAACGAACACGACTTTCTTTTATATATATAGATTGCATTAATTCAATAATATTATTTTGTAAGTAGAGTAAGTACTTTTGCGATGCCCAAAAGGGTCTATAGTTGGAACGTATTTTGTTAAAAATTGTAAACCACCCTGTACACACTATACAAGGTGTAGTTTTGACACCGTGTCATTTCTCGGGGACATGTCACAGAAGTCATAAAGGTTCAATGTAAGTAAAAGTTTCAGGCCAATAGTTATAAATACACCTATAATAAATCGTTTAAGTTCGACAGTGTTTCAGAATAAGCGAAAGCAATGATTCTTATTGGAGTTTTATGGAATTAGGAATAATATCAATTATGTGTTTGAGTTTTTGTGTGTTAGGCCGCGTTATAAATCTAGTTACAAGACGGCGGAGTGTATTTCGCACTTACGGATTTAGAGAAAAATATTTATATACAATTTTTTTATTGATTCGGACTCAGAATCGATAGCCGATTTACCTCCTAGAAAATGACGCGGCTTTAAAACAACACCTTGTAGATGCATTAAAGTAATTTGAATTTAAACTTTATATTGATTGTTTGTTAAAAGCATCACATCATCATCATCATCAACAGCCTGTAAATGCCCACTGCTGAGCAAAGCCTCTTCAAACACGGAGAAGGTTAGAGCTTTAATCACCACGCTTGCTCAATGCGGGTTGGCGATTTCAAACTTAAAATTAGAAATTATAAGCCGAGGTTTCCTCACGATGTTTTTCCTTCACCGTTTGTCAGTGGTGTCTAGATAATCTTAGAAAGTACATATAACTCGGAAAAAGTCACATTGGTACTTGCCGTTGGTAGGTTTCGAACCCGCATCCTCATGCATGAGAAGCAGGCGTCTTAAACCTCCGAGCCACCACGACTCCACTCACGAAAAGCATCACATACCTAATTTATTTATTTAATATATTCCAGGCTAAAGAGCCCACAGACCATTCAATAGTGGACGACAATATGCACGTGATCTGGGCCCGCGGTCAAGAGCCGGGCAAGTACGTCCACTCCCCACCCTCGGGGCTCGAGCGAGGCACCGCGTCTGTGGGAGACTTCTACAGACCCGACGAACTGAAGTACCATGGACATGGATCACAGAGAGGCGTCGCTACTATTAACTTCTTCGGTAAGAATAAACTATTATTAAATCCAATCCTCCAATTTCTAATCGCAAATCTCCAACCTTAAATATCGGATCTCCTATGTCCAGTCTTTAATCTCCCATCTTCAATCTCAAATATAAAATCATAATCCCCAATCGCCTATCTCCAAATCACCAAATACTCAATGCGCTATCTACAATTCCAAATTTACAATACTTGAAGTCCTGTAACGCACTAGTAACACCCCTGGTGTTCCATTTCTCCCACAAGAGCATTTAATCGGTATTATACTTTTAATACCGATTAAATGCTCTTGTGGGATAAAACAGGAATCATATTCTACGAGGAAAAAGTCGCGGGCAACAGCTAGTCTCCAATAAATTAATATCCATTCAAAAAATAACACAAACCTAACAAAAATCCAACAAATGTTCCAGAGGAGACGAAAGTATCAATATCAGGTGGTATTCTCCCCCTTGCTGACAAATGTGGCGGGCAATGGCGTCTCCCAGCAGACTGCGACCCAGCCAACAAGACGTGTGACTATGTCGCCACGTGGGAGTATCTCGGACAGAAACGAGGCAAGGACTCTGTACGATTCACCATATCTACCAAACAGACGAAGCATTGGACCGGGATTGGGTTCAGCGATAATAAAAAGATGGTAAGTTGACTAAACGTTATCATTGTAAGTAGGTAAGTTAATCCTCCTCATCCCAAAAGGCCGGTAACGCACTTGCAATGCCTCTGGTGTTCCAGGCGTCTATTGGCGACGTCGATTACAATTACTTACGTCGATTAGACCCTAACAATCGATGCAATAAAAGTACAGGGTGCAACTTTTATAGATTTTAGTCGTTTTGATTACCATGTGTGACAAGTGAATTTAAAAAATCTTTGAATTATGTTTTCTTTCTTTTCAAATATAGAGGAATGTTTTCTTTGAATAATTTTTTCTATCTAGAATATTAAGAGTACCTACTTCCCCTTCAGGTAGCAAAAAGTATAAAACGCACTCCCATGCGACCCGTTTCCCGACTTTAAATCGCCAGTAATTTATTTTTCCATAATTATTTTTGTGGCATATTATTTTCCCTTTTCAGTTGGTCTCCTTCTATTACATTGGTTTTAGCTTAGTTTAAATTTTTATCTCAAAGGAGTTTGTATACCTATGTGGAAAGTGTTCCAAATTGTCATGTACTTACAATAATTTGTATTAAACTAAAGGCGGCAATAACTTAGATATAGAAAGAGAAGAAGATATATTACTGGCCTTTTCATTTTGTGTCTGACGTCACTGACATGTCATTTGTTTTTTTATTTGTTCTACTAGAGGCGGCAATAACTTAGATATAGAAAGAGAAGAAGATATATTACTGGCCTTGTCATTTTGTGTCTGACGTCACTGACGTGTCATTTGTTTTTTATTTGTTCTTAGTAGAGGCGGCAATAACTTAGATATAGAACGAGTACACGATATATTTCTGGCCTTGTCATTTTGTGTCTGACGTCACTGACGTGTCATTTGTTTTTTATTTCTTCTACTAGAGGCGGCAATAACTTAGATATAGAAAGAGAAGAAGATATATTACTGGCCTTTTATTTGGTTGTTTGATAGTTTATTTTATTATTCGTTCAGAAAATTTACATCTAATTAAATATAACTACATAAATATTTACAACTTAAAATTAACTACAACTAAACTATTAAATAAAAAGAAAGTAAAAGAAAACAACAAAAACTGGCCTTTTCATTTTGTGTCTGACGTCACTGACGTGTCATTTGTTTTTTTATTTCTTCTACAAGAGGCGGCAATAACTTGTATTTAGAAAGAGAAGAAGATATATTTCTGGTCTTGTCATTTTGTGTCTGACGTCATTGACGTGTCATTTGTTTTTATTTTGCACTAGTTGACCCGGTGAACAGTTATAATGACGTAATTGTTCCATATCACAAACCAATGGCACTATGAGCAGTTTGTATGGGCAAACGAAAGTGACGATTTTAGTAATTTTCTTTGTATTATTTTAGCTTTTAAACGTTAAGTACCTGAATTTTCGCAAATATATTAAGGTCAAAATTACAATAAAATTTAGTTAATGAGTTTTAGCGAAAATGACAGACGGCCATTGAACTTAATCCGCTTCTATTAGGTCGACATTTATTTATTTATTTATTTATTTAAATAGGTTAGCCAACAATTATTAAACTTTTTCATTACTGTTAATAAAAGATATAACACTTGTGCGAGTATAATAATCACTTATAGGCTAACACAGCATGCACGTATTAGTTAACATGTAAAAAGGTGCGTCACTACGTACGAAGCGAGTCCCTTTTTATAGAGTTTGCAAGTTATTGATTATCAATGGTGAGATAAAAAATACACTAAGTTATGTTTGATTTAAGAATATATTAAATTCTACAAATGATGGTTTAACTGATTAATACTAAAAGATGATTTGATTTGATTTGTACGAGTAGACCGGCGATTGCGTACTACTATTGAACGTAAAATTCGATGCCTTTTATAAAAGTGTTTGTACGTAAAATGCTGAGCTGTTCGGTTGCGTTGCTCCGAACATATTCCCGACTGCAAGATGAATTGAAAGCACAAACTTAATCAAACCATCGAACACAAAACTAAACAATAAAATGCAAAAAATAATAATAAACAAAGACAATAATAAATGTAAAAGAAAACTAGAAACATAAACTACTACTTATCTATTTACTATATAGTAAAATTAGTTACATGTACAGAAATGATAAAAGAATAAATTTCTGTCCATCTTACTTAAACTAAAGAGTCCTCCACAGTCACAACGCGTTCTCTTCGCGGGATAGGTACCGTAGACCTATTCGTATTATTTGTTTTACGCATAGTGCTTGGCCACCGTTTGGCTAGAAATGAACTTAAGTTTGTTTGTTCACTATCACTAAGCTGACGATCAGCTGTACTCTGCTTTCGCGATCTCACTTCACTGTTCACATCACTGATTGTTTTTGGTGTGGTGGCCAGCGACTTCTGTCTCTGGAAAGCTTCCCCACCTGCACGACGAAGGGGCAGCGAGCAATATCTCGTCCATGTCCAGACTGCTGCTCCACCTACTGCCATAGCCAACAGTACGTAGGTTATGGTGTAAAGGTGAATATCATGAGACGAGATATCATCAATATCTGCTTTGCTCGACTTTAGACCTTTAATCTGTTCACCTAGCATGGACAAAGATTTATTCAAGCCTTGCTTCTCTATGATGTCTTCTGGTGATTCTTCGTCTAATGGAACGTTTATCTTTACGATATGGTTTATCTGATCGAGCTCAGGTATTTGAATATTTGGTGCGATTTCTAATTGGTTTATTTGTTTTTGTAAGGAATATAATGCAAAATCCTTGCCCTTGATAAAACACGATTGACTCAAGCTAATGACCCCGGCTCGAGTCAGCTGTTCGACGGAAACTTGATCATCACATATGATTTTTACTGAATAGCTGCTACAGCAAAAGTACAAGTATTGTGACGTAGAGTGTAATTCAAACCATTTGTTTTGGCATACTGATTTTTCAACGTTGCAATTATTGGTGATCGGATTAAGATTACAAAAATTTTGATCATTTTGTAAACTGAGGATTGGTTTAAACAGTTCACACATGAATAATTCTTCATGAAGCAAGCATGTATTTAGCTCATGAATGGTTGGTATGAAATAAGCGTCCTTTCTTAAATTTACTGCAACATAATCAGATACTGGTATTACTGTTATCATACTCTGGTTGTTTTCGTGCGGAACTGGTAGTATCTTATACAATTGAAAATTTTCTCTTGAAATAAGAGGAAATGTTATTTCAAAAATTATGTAAGTCTCCGTGACTCTTGCTTTGATTTTCAATAGCTTGTAAATGTGTTGAAGGTCAGTTTCGAGGTTCTCAATAGGCAAAGTCAGATCTTTGGGCATTTGCCCATAAATAATTTGCAATTCTCTTTTAATTTGTGCTGGTGTTAGAATATGTAAGCTGATTTGGCCATGGTGTATTTCAGAAATGGTATCGATTAAGGTTTCTTGGATTCTCTTGAGGTTGTGCATTAGATTAATGGTAGCGATGGATACAAAGGTGAAGTCTTGGTGTATAGTCATCACATCAATTTCTTTTTGTATATTACTGGTCGCAAAATCTAAATTATGTAGATGTTTGTTTATAATTTTGTGCTGTTTTTCTATCATATTTTCTGTTCGTTGTAAAATGTTAGGTATGTTCCGCTTCAACTATAGACGTTTGGTTCTTCCATAACTGAGCCAGGTGGTTTTGATTACGGTGTACAAGTTCAATGTCCTGTTTGTATTTTTCTGCGAAACTCTCGTCTAATACGCCAAACAATGAGTTAGCAATTGAACCGACTGCGTTGATAAGACCGCGTCGGGTTCGATTGCGAGTATTATAATGCTGACTAAGTAACAGCTGGTTGTAATATTGTAATTCATTGTAATCGTGACGTATTTGTAGTAGGATCATATGACAGTGACTCGGTTCCTTGATGGTTTCGCACGTTTTTTCGAGATAATTGGTGAAATCTTTAATCGCCTTCTCTCCTTGCCAATATGGGGACATATCGTAGAAGGTGACAAGTTTCCAGTTATCTCGAATCAATTGTATTTTTCCCAGTGGGTCAAAATACAAGGTTTGGTTGCTGTTTAGTTGTTTGTAAGTAAAGGATGCAGTGGTCGGTGATATGATATTAAGGAACATTAACAACGCCAGTGCTATGTTCACTATCCTCGGATGAGTTGATGAGTCAGTGTGTCGTCTACTTCTTTCTTCTGGTTGAACATTTTCCGTCTCTGGTGTTATTGTTTTGGGTTCTACTTGAGGTTCTATCGGTAAAACCGAAAGCTTCACTATAGGCCGCTTGACATATCCGTTTTTGGTTTTTAAGGTAACTACTCTTACTAGGTCATCATTTCCGGGTGTACTTCGTTATACGGCCGACTGGCCACTTCCCAGCTGGTAAATTATCTTCCATTATAATGACCACATCTCCCACCTTAACGTTTTTCTGGTACTTAAACCATTTATTTCTGGCAGACAATTGTGTTAAGTATTCGCGTTTCCATTTCTTCCATAAATCTTCGTATAATTTGGTTACTAATTGCCACCTGGTTCTGGCATCTTCTGCTGTCTCTATCACAGTCACGCCTGGTCGTGTTGTTAAAAAATGGGCTGGTGTTAGGAAATCGAGGTCTTCAGGATCTTCTGTAAGCGCACAGAGTGGACGAGAGTTAAGACATGCCTCCAGCTTTGCCAAAAGTGTGCAATATTCCTCGAAGGTGAGCTTTTGATGGCCGATAACACGCTTGAGGTGGTGCTTAAGGCTTCGTACGGCTCTTTCCCAAAGTCCTCCCGCGTGTGGACACGACGGTGCGTTGAAGTGCCATTCAATTTGAAGTTCGGTAATCTCTTTGTAGAAGCTTTCGTTAAATGTTTGTTGAAGACACTCGTACTCTTCTTGAAGTATTCGATTTGCTCCGACAAAGTTGGTACCATTGTCGGTATAGATATGACGTGGTGTTCCACGCCGCGCTGCCATCCTGTTAAGTGCAGCTAAGAAGGCCGAACTGGTGAGGTCGGATACAAGTTCCAAGTGCACAGCTTTTGTTGCCATGC